AGACTACGACAGAAGACAAACAAAAGTCAGAAGTGAAGACTTTATTTTATGAGGTGTAGTTACAGTAACCTTTAGAGTGTTATTATTTTTCGTAGATACGAAGTGACATAATTACAGTAAGGTGGAAAGTGTTATAATTAGTTGTAGCTCCGTCTCGTGAAGATCTAATAAATCGCTACATCTAATCCGGAGCCCATTAAGTTTTTGCCGCGTTACCAGGTTTCGTGACGCTATACGAACACGAGTATGAGACGCTTATGCACATGTAATTATTGTATATCAGTTAGAATCGTGTATGTAGGACGAGGTTCTCAACAGCGATGGTTAGGAAAATTCCATCTTCTCGGAATATAACGCCATGTAGTCCGTCGAAAGTCTACCGACGTTTCGACATGTCTCAGAGATCTTCTTACAACTTGCTTTCACGTTGGTTCCTTGCTTGGCTTATTCTTCGACCCTGAAGAAGGAGGCGACATATTTTGTTTAAACATCGGTTGACTTTCAACAGACTACTCTGCTTACCCGGGATAGCGCAGTCGGCATGGCGACTGGCTGCGGGCTGGATGACCGAAGGGTCGGAGTTAGAGTCTCGGTAAGCGGCCTCCGTAGTCTAGGGGTAACGTTCCCACCTCATGACTCATGGTACGCGGGTTCAAACCCGGCGGAGGTCGTGGAATTTTTAAGGGCGGAAAAATTCAAGGAACAAGTCCTCCGGGAGGGACTTTAAGCCGTGTGTCCCGTGTCGTAGATTTACGGCACGTAAAAGAACCTCATGTCTCTAGGAGACCTCTGAGCTAAATTAAAGGCAATAATTTCCCGCCCAAGTAGTTTCCAATGCCTCTGGTAGACGGGGGAAGCATCAAGATAACAAGAGCCGACCTCGATGGCTCAACGGGGCTGATGGCACGCACCGTTACCGGTAGGGTATGGCGACAGTAGACATTAAAGGGGGACGCACAATGGACCAATAACTGGTCTAAGTGCATGGGGAAACCCACCCACTCTAATAATACGAATACGAATACGAATAGAGTCTCGGTAGGATTAAGAATATTCACTTCACCATCCCGTCCAGACTGGCTCTGGGGAGCCCCCAACCTCCTATTTAAAGGGTACTGGGGCCTCTTTCCCCGTGATAAAATGACCAGGGCGTGAAGCTGATCACTCACCTCCAACTATAGCCGAGGTCAAGAAATCGTGGGTCTATACACCAGCTCACCCATACGTCTTCATGGAGTGCTGGTTAAGCACGGGGACAAGTTATGTTTGCCTTCACTCTGTTTGCCACCTACTTGCACACAGATTCTTGGATTATTCTCCGACCCTGAAGAAGGAGGTTGTCTTTCAATTGACTGCTCTGTTTGTCACCTCCCTTCACGCAGACTGTCGGACTGGTGGGAAAAACCATTACACGCCCATTATGCGTTCACTTTATGAACTTCGTGCAAAGGGCATCTAAGAATTACTGCAGAGAAAGCTGGATCAGATGCACCGCTTTAACAGCTTCGTGCCTGTAATGGCAAACGGAGTCCTGTAGTTTGTATGCGAGGTAGGTTAAACTTTGTACAACATATATCCATGAAGGGAATTCAAGTTTCGGAAATGGTTAACCCCCTGCGCCCCCTTCAGTCTCGAAGCTACAAGATTCATCAATCATTAACAAATCTTACACACGCTTCAAACTTCTTGTTTTCCTTCGATTCTGGATCAGATTCGAACATTCCACGTGCCCTCTCCCCCGATGTCATAAGCGTAGAGCTATCCGTGTAACAGGCCGTGGAGGTCCGTAGGGTTGTGAGACGTCGAGGTTTCCACATTTTGTCCAGACAGTTGGCTCATAGATGGCGGTGAGGTTGTCAACCTTACGCGCTAGCCTCCCTTTACCCCCAGGTACTCATTTCTGTTAGAGGCTGAGTCGACCCCAGGGTCATTGCCAATTGAAAAAAACGAATGACCTCATTGGGAATCGAACCCGCGACCTTCCTGCTTGTAGCATAGTGCCTCAACCAACTACGCCACCGCGTGTCCCGCAGTATGTAGCTTAGAGCAGATATACTATCTGTATACTTTATTCTTATATTCACTGCCGTCTTACCTGCACCTCACACTAAAAGTTTCAAAATTCAAAACCTTTTCGTAATTTTATTATTTAAGTATGATTTGAGGTGACTATGAATATAGCCGTCTTCCTGGATGTGGCGCCATGTAGATAGTGTATTAACCGACATTTCGGAGGAACGTATCGCCTCCATCTTCAGGGTAGAATAAAAAGAAAATCCGAATAGTCGGTTAATACATTATCTACACGGCGCCACATCCCAGAAAACGGCTTTCTTCTTTATTATTTAATTTTATTTATGCGCAGCGTGTGTTGTAGCCTGGTTATATATGTGTTTCCTTCTCTTTATGCCTTGTGTAGATGTAGATTTATTGGATAGATTAGCCAGTCTAATGTCTAGGCTCCAGGCTGGACAAGCAAGTAATGTGCTCTCGATATGAGACTCCTCTGCAGTACTTTACCTTCAGAAGAGATCTGAGGCCCACCCAGCCTCCTATCAGATCGGTGTCATTTGTTTTTACCTCGGGAGTAAAGCGGCCAGGGCGTGAAACTAACCTCCAACTACTGCCGAAGTTAGATATGCATGAATCTATATCTCCACTCCCATCATAAGTTTTCATGATATGGTTCCTAATAAAACGCACAAAAAATTTGCGATTTCAGTGTCGTCCTCTGTCCTTCCACGTAATTGGCGGGATAGTACCTTGAATTAGGCCAGTTAACCTACGTTCCATTTCCTTTCTAACTGGCTGAATAATCAGAATCCATAGCGACGAATATTTGGAGGACACTTTGTTAAAAATTGAACTAAATAATAAAAATCCGCGTCTTCATATTGTCACTTAGTACGTGTGACTATAGACGGGGTTTGGATTGGTGAATAGATTTATTGACCACTTATACACACGCCTCGGAACTGCAAGCAATTACAGCGCCATCGCTAATATTTACAATTCGCATCTCATCGCAACACGCGATAAGCTTTTTACAGCCTGCTGTGTCTTCGCCAGCGGTTCCCTGGCAATGGCTTCTTAAAATAGAAATTCTTCACCTTCATGCGTCAGGGTTCTATTTTCGCAGCCTACCGTGCAGAACTCAACTCACTGTCAACTAATATAACATCTCGGCACGACCACATAGAAAACGCTGTTCCCCTGTTGTTGGGTTCGTTTCTGTTGCTGAGGTAACGTGTTTACTGAGCCGTTGCCCAGAAACTACTGCGGCGTTGACCACAGAGAACACCGTTCTTCTATCGTTGCTTATATGTTGCTGGCCCTACGTGGCAACGGACGCTGTTTACAGATTACGCCACAATATCTTGGTGCTGGGAGGTAGTGTTGTGATTAGGCAGCCTGGAGGACAGATGAGTTGCATCAGCTGGGCAGGCGTTTAGCGGCATGGCGAAGATCTAAACTGTCTGCAGTTACAGCACTTCGGCAAGCCGGTGTTATGAAACCTACTCATGTGGATGACAAGTGTTTGAAATTGGCAGCATATTTCAGACAAGACTGCTTGCTACTGATATGCGTAACTTTAGTACTCGAAACTTGATAAGGTTGTGTTGTTGGCGTCCCATTGCTTTACCTTCTGGCCGCGGAGTCAGGCACTTTTATTTCTGTTCTTTCTGTAGGGGGAATAAACATGGCGTACTGTCAAGGACGGAGGAGAAAAGAAAGGGGACACGTAATGTAAACTCCGAGAAAACGATGTAACAGGGAATAGCTCTTGTCTTCTGAGACATAACGCCGTGTAGTCCGATGAAATTCAATCGACGTTCCCGAGGAACCTCCATCTTCAGGGTCGAAGGGTGTGCTAGGCAGTAAACCAACATGGAGCAGGCAGCAAGTAGAACCCGTTTTCTTACTTCATAATGACCGCTGCGAGGATCTCTATCTGACGCAACAGTGACCTGCAACTTCTCACTTCGGACGTACGAAAATTCTGCCACTTCGAGGTATAAAAAACAGTTTCTCGAGCACATTTATGGTGTAATGGATTTATAACTTTACAGTCGGTATAGCGATTGGCCACGGGCATGATGATCGAGGGGTCGGATTTCAAGTCCCGGTAATCCCCCATCCTCCGGGGGCTGTTGCCCCGGCAGCGGCATGAAGCTGGCCACTCACCTGCATCTAATGCCGAACTTGACAATGGTGAAGCTATACCTTCGCATGTCTTCATGGCATTGTGCTTAATGAATTAAGCCAAGGGATAACTTGAGTTAGTTACATCCTGTTGCTCCCTCTGAAGCATAGGGCATCTGTGAAACACCGTTTCACTCCAGTTTCTTAATCTTAGACAGTCGGTAGGCCTCCTTGGACGGGGGATCAGACCGACGCAAGGCCGGTACCTACACAGGACAACATTAACGCAGACATCCGTGCCTCGAGCGGGATTCGAACTCACGATCCCAGATGTTTGAAAGGGCGAAGGCATTTCATGCCTTAGAATTCGATGGCACTGTCGTCGGCAGGAGTGCATTTACCTTCACTTTTATTTTGAATACCTACCGCCTCTGTGGTCTAGTGGTCAGAGTTCCTGGCTACAGACCCAGAGGTCCCGGGTTCGATTCCCGGCGCTATCAGATTCTCTCAGAAGTATTGGGTCAAATCAGCCTGTGAGGATAATTAAGGAGCTATTTGAATGGAAAACTGGCGGCTCCGGTCTAGAAAACCAAGATTAGCGGCCATGGGAATCCGTTGCGCTGACCACGCGAAACCCTCTATCCACTGAAGTTGGCACTAACATCGCCGATAAGCGGCGGTCGTTCGGTCGGTATAGTTCGTTTGCGGACTAAAAGCCACGGAGTTTGTTTTGTTGTTTGTAGGGCGATAATTGTAATAGCGTTGAACGGATTGAACGTGAATTTGTAAAAGTTTTCCGGCTGTTCTCTGTTGGAGAAAATACTATCGGCGCCAATGTTTCAGAATTAAATTCCTACCTTTTTTGGAGGTTCTGAAGCTGTCGTCACGAGGTACATACATCATGTCATACACGAGCGTCGTGTTGGGCAGGAGGCTCGTGTCCTTGTTGATTCGGTACACCGCGTACTTGAAGGCTAGCTCAGCGCTGCTGCCCTTCTGATCTTCTGTAAAGATGGCCCCTGTAATCACACAACGATCACCACGTCAGCGGGCGCAGTGTGCACGTTTCTTTTAGAGCTGAAAAGTGCCCAAACTCGGCTATTACATTCAAGGCGAAGGAGTAAGGAAAATTGTTATAATGGAAACGAAATAAAGTCGGGAAATTATTGGAAGTCTTGAACTTAACATTCTCTACAAACATTCCTAAAAGCAGTGACGTAACTGCCTCGCATTCTGGCAACAGAACTCTTCGATTCAAAGCCAGGAGCTGCTTTGTTTTCTTTAATTATTTTTTCAGTTTAGCCACTCTGTAAATTGGAAGTGGGACGTATCATTTTGTGTAGGGACTAGACTACGGGAAACGAGGTTTTTTCTTTTCTCCACAGCTTCAAGATGGGCTCTGGGGCCCACCCAGCCCTCTGTCTAGTGGGTGCTGAAGGCTGTTTCCCCTGAAGGGAAAGCTGTCGTAGCGTGAATCTGACCACTTACCTCCACCCAGTGCTTAAGTTAAGAATGTGTGAAGTTGTTCCTGCCTTTCATCATACGTCGTCCTGCCCCAATGCTTAAACGTTTAAGCACAGGGACAATTTTACCTCTACTCCCGCTTAATACGAGGTTGCTGCTGTGTTACAGTTATATGCAGTCTTTGTCATTATCCAGTATCTAATTTTATCTAATTATTAACATTATCTCAATTACATATTTTGTACAGAATATGGTGTTCTTTTCGTTATAGACGATTAAGAACATGGGAAGCAGTAGTCGTGGCCTACCCAGAATATGACTGATGGGATTGAGGAAAACCAGGAAACTCTCGATCTTGATGGTAAGTAACCTGGCCAAGATTCGAACTTAGTACAATCTGCATAAGAATCTCGTGCGATCTACTTAGAAATGGACGGTTCTTTCAACAGTTGAAAAGTATTTTGATTGGATTCATTTCCCTGTATGCTACTTGTATTTACGCTGATATTAAGATTCAGGTCACCATATAAGCACAGCTTGTTTATTACTTATTTGCCTACGCGTTACTAAAACCCTGATATGTTTCGGTCTTACAAGAGTATCTTGAGGGGTGTGTACTTCTTACTGACACATAATATCATTTTTTTAATTTATGGGAGATTTATATCCCATATGAGTCATATGATATGATCCTTCAGTTTTATATATGTGATCTGTAGAGTTTAGTGGTTCTGTATTCGTGTGAAACTTGGTCTCTGTCATTAAGGGAGGAACATAGACTGAGGGTGTTTGAGAACAGGGTGCTGAGGAGAATATTTGGACCGAAGAGAGAAGAAGAGAGGGAAGTTAGAGAAAAGTGCATAATGAAGAGCTTCATAATTTGTACTCTTCTTCAAGTATAATTAGAACTACCGTGTGAAGGAGGATGAGATGGGCAGGGCATGTAGCACGCATGGGGGAAGAAAGGAATGCATGTAGGATATTGGTGGGAAAGCCAGAAGAAAAGAGACTACTAGGAGAACATGGACGTGGGTAAGGTAATAAATAAAAATGGATCTTAGAGAGATAGAATAGGATGATATGGATTGGATTGATCAGGCTCAGGATAGGGATAAGTAGAGAGCTCTTGTGAACATGGTAATGAACCTTCGGGTTCCGTAAAATTCTGGGAAATTCTTGAGCGGCTTCTCAAGAAGGTCTCAGATTCAAGATTGAGTAAGTGATCTGTAAATGTTCCTCTAATGAGCAAACCCCCCCATGATGGTCTTTTAAGACCGAAACATGTCGGGGATATAGTAACACGAAATCCAATATAAGCAATGAACAATACGTATTTAGATGGCCACTTGCATCTTAATTTCATTGAATCAAATTATGCATTGTACAGTGTTTAATTGTGCATATTAGTTGGAATGTTTTTTAACCGCGACCTGCTTTCCTTTCCGGATATTGTGAATACAGATGGATTGAGAGGTGACTGGGACTGGCACGTTGGGTGAGGGTGATGTTGTTTTTCCCATGGCATACAGAACTATATTTCATACAGGAACATGCCAATAACACGTAGAACACGTAGCCGGACATGTTTCGCTGGCTCGTGAATTTAAATCAGATGTTCACTTCACTGATCCTCTGCTATTCTAACTGTGGTTTTATTTTCCCTAGTAAATATTCAGTTTTATTGACAAGTGAGTATGCTGAATGCTGTGTCCCTTCACTTACCGATCTGTAAATTCCTGCAGCATCCATACAAAAATTTGTTGTAATCTTCTTGTTTAATTTATCCACATTAAGCAACTTAATACCTATTCTGACTGAGGTTCTTCGTGGTTTTCATCAGTCCCTTCAAGCAAATGGCGCTACAGTAACCTCTATAAGGCCGAAACCACTACTTTCCAGTTTCCGTCATCGTCATTATATTGTCACATGTATGAGGGAATATAGAAGGGGTTTGAATTTATAATTGAATTTATTCATACTTACAAATTGTAACTACAAGTAACTATAACACTATCACCAATTCACACACTGTTCAGTTCACTACAGCACGCATTATGTCTTCTCAGTCTGCTGTGTCTTCACCAGTCGTTTCCTGGTAACGGCTTCCAACGGCGGACGTTCCCCTTACTCTTGGTTCCCGAGCTATCCCCGTGCCTCAGCTACCAGCTTCTAACAGCAATGGCTCACAACGACTGAACTGCAGTTCACTGACTAACTCACTAGGTTAACAACCAACTCTTTACTTTCCTGCACTGCACTAACTCGGCACGAACTGCACAGAAAACACCGTTCCCCTGTTGCTGTTGATTGGTGCATGTTAGGAATCTGTCGCCTAGCAGCTGGCTTTGTTTACAGAGTCACTACTTAGCAACGGGTATTTATCGTCCTAACATTCTACGATATACGCTGTACAGTCTAGATCAAGGGTATCCAAACTACGGCCCGCGGGCCACATCCGGCCCGCGATGTGATTTTATCCGGCCCGCGAAAGAATTGTGCAGAAATGCGCCAATTGAACTAATTTTCCAATGACTACTGGTAAAAAATTACTTGTTCATAAATTTCAACTGATGTTTGTAATACCTCTCAACTATTAATATTTTTTCGTGGCGTCGACGATGAACTTAATGTCACAGGAATCAGCGTCACTTCATAGCATGCATGGCACTACAACAGGAGAGGATATCTTCAAAGAAATACAAAAAACACTAACAGAATATAATTTGGACTGGAACCGTCTGCAGTGCGTGACAGTTGTTGGAGGAAAAAACATGTCTGGTATAAAAATATGTTTGGTTGGCCAAATCACAAAAGCTTGTGAGCATGCAGGAATATCAAAGCCAATGTTTCTTCACTGTGTTATCCATCAACAAGCACTCTGTGCAAAACTTGTTGATATGAGCCCTGTTTTAAAACCTGTTGTTTCTATCGTTAATTTCATTCGCTGTCATGCACTTAACCATCGCCAGTTTCGGTATTTTCTCGAGGAATGTGATTCCGATCTTATTGACCTGACATATTATACTGCAGTTCGATGGCTTAGCTGTGGAGAGGTTCTGTCGCGCTTTTTTCAGCTCAGGAATGAAATCGATATATTTCTTACCGAGAAGAACCATCACGAACCACTTCTATCAGATACCGAGTGGCTTTGGAAATTAGCATTTTTTGCTGATGTGGTGAACCATATGAACAATTTGAATTTAAAGTTGCAGGGTGAAAATAACTTAGTCTGTGATTTATTTGAACTTATCAAGGCATTAGGAGCAAAGTTGATACTTCTGGAAAGCCAAGTGAAAAAGTGTAACTTTGTTCATATGCTATATTGTGCAGAGTTGCATAAAAGGGGCGAAGCAGAATTTCCTTCCTCGTTTGCAAATTTAGTCATTTCAGATGTGAAAGAACAATTTCGGAAGCGATTTGCTGATTTGGATGCTAGTGCTCAGGAAATTAGATTGTTTCAAAATCCGTTTGACTGTGATGCTGCAGATGTCCCAAGTCAAATTCAAATGAAAATTACTGAATTTCAGGAAAATTATCATATATTAAAGACAAATGCAGGGAAAGAAATTTGATCGAATTTTATAAATTTCTGAACTCTGAGCAATTTCCAAATTTAAAGAAATTTGCTTGTAAATTTATCTCCATTTTTGGGACGACATATCTGTGTGAACAAACTTTTTCCCAGATGAAGTATATCAAGTCGAAATGCAGGGAAAATTTAACCGTTGAACATTTTAAGACGCTACTTGTGATGAGCGTTTCAAAATTTGAACCTAAATTTACGATATACGGTAATTTATTCTCACGTACTTTGTATTTAGTTTATGAAATTCTGTGCTTTCAATAAAACTCATATACCTAGAGTTATTAATTTCTCATTTTATCCGGCCCGTTGAAAGTGCTGAATTACCTAATGTGGCCAACGTTTCGAAAAGGTTGGAGACCCCTGGTGTAGATACTCATAGCGTCTTTAAACAACCCCTAAAGAGACAATATATGTCAGCATGCCTGGCGCCCTCTTTAATAGCCTTATCCATTCTATGGTTCTTGTGTACTTGCTGGTTACTTGATTAGGAGTATCTTGGGTTCGGAATGCGGGGCACTACAAGTGCAAGACTCTGGGAAGGCCTGGTGGCAGCGTGGATCGGCAGCTGCAGGCAAGTGTACGAGTATGAGACAAAATAGAATTGCCTTAGTTCATTTCGATGGACCACTACACACGTATGCTAATGGTGAGTGCTATACATAGTAGGTATGTCTGTTTCCATCCCTTCCCCTTGACCAAACCCCTAAAGTGTCACGATTAGAGTCTCTACCAGTATATTCCTCGAGGGTCACGCGGTAGCGTAGTTGGTTGAGTCCCTATTCTACAAGCCGGAAGGTCGCGGTTTCGATTCCCGATGAGGTTATTGGATTTTTCAGTTGACCTAGTCCTTCCAGCCGCACTATGGCTTTGGGGTCGACTAAGCCTCTAACAGAAATGAGTACTATGAGTCTTCCTGGGGCTAAAGGCCGGCCGGCGCATAAGGCTGACAACCTGACCGCCATTTTTGAA